AAACCAGAAGTTTTGAAAAATAAATTGACATTTTAAATTTCTAGATTTCTACTTTATCGGCATAGAGGACTTGATTTTTTCAAAAGAATTATAATGTCGCAAAAATCTCGCGAAAAGGATTTGAATTTATATAAATTCGATTTAACTAATCCGTGCAAAAAATAGAATACATTTTACGTGCGTGAACAGTATATTTGCTTGATTCGCGCGAGATGCGTCGCTCGTGCGCGTTGCGCACTCGCGCCGCCAAACTTCGCGCTCATCTTCAAAATAACTGTTCCCGCACTAATAATGTAAATAACTATTACAATAGATTACAATAGGTTAACACGTGCTGAGCATTCATTAGATTTAACCAATGACAAGGCCTTATGAAAAGCGTCAAATTTACATTTTTTGAGGCCGGGACTTTTCGCCGAATGCCCACAACGCCGACACGATTTTTTGAAGGTCCATATCGCCGACTAGGGACACTACGCCGACGGACACTACGCCGACCGTGCCCACATCGTCGACAAGTGTGCAAGGGACACAACGCCGACCATGCCCACTTCGCCGACCGTGCCCACATCGCCGACAAGTGAACAAGGGACACTAAGCCGAACGTGACCATAACGTCGACTCATATACAACACTTCTTAATCAAGCTGGACGGTGTGCAACACCAAGTAGCTTTTGACGTTAGGTTATTGTAGGTTCAAAATATTTTTTTTAACTTTTTTCGAACTACAGACTCATACAAAAATTCTTAATCAAACTGGACGGAGTGTGAAGCAAAGCAGCTTTGGATATTAGGTTATTTGTAGGTTTAGGACATGTTTTTTAAACTTTTTAAAATGCAAACTCATACACTGGACAGAGTATGAGGGGCCTGGATTTTCGAACCGTCGGCGTTGTTGGTCACGTTCGGCTTAGTGTCCCTTGCACACGTTTCGGCAATGTGGGCACGATCGGCGTAGTGTCCGTCGGCGAAGTGGGCATGGTCGGCGTTGTGTCCCTTGCACACTTGTCGACGATGTGGACACGGTCGGCGTAGTGTCCCTAGTCGGCGATATGGACCTTCAAAAAATCGTGTCGGCGTTGTGGGCATTCGGCGAAGTGTCCTAGACCCCATTTTTTTAAATGAAGTACGTTTCCAAATAGCCATTTATAGGAATTTACAGCTAATCTTCTGGACCAGACCAGAAATAAAAATAAGAAAATAAAAGAATAAATAAAAATGCAGAAATTTTTTTTAATTTGTTTTAACAATGTTTGCTTTTTTTCTATTTTCAAAATTATACGTAGGTAAGCGTAGAAAGGTCTAATAAATTTCTTCCTATATTTTGATTGAGAATGCTAAAACATAATAGTAAGCTTCACATTGCCAAAAGTATTATACTTAGGGGGCCACGATTTCTCCATCAGTTTCTCCTATAACTGCATACAGTCTTTCTTAAAAGTGGGTTTCGTTCGTTACCTATTCCTCCAAATACATATTTGATGCTGTAATGTTCCTAGGGGTTCCTCAGGCTGTACTGGAAATATTGACTTACTCTATACTTACAGTTGGCAACCCTGGAGAACAAATTGCAGACAGCGCCATCTAACTTTAGTTGTCAAAAAATGGACGTTCGCGCCACTTTCAAATCTCGGTAACATTCGGCTTGGATGAAGTTGTACGAATTGACTTCTACGTTGCAATTTTCCTATGGTGGTCTTTTATGCGTTTGAATGTGAGACACAATCGGGAAGGGAATTAAATAAAAAACAGAATTTTTGTGCGTCCGAAGGAAATGAGAAAATGAAATATTACGCACGGGGCTGGGTTCCGCAGAGCAAATCCAAACCGAAAAGCCAGGAAAAAAGAACCAGCAATAAAAAAACCTGGCATAACACAAATACAAGAAATAAATCAATTACAGGTAACGATGTACAAACAGAAATACGAAAATCAAACATCTTAAATCGTACAACAAAAATCAAGTAATCGAAGCAAATGTGGTTCACATACCTACAAACCAACATTTTAAACAGAAGAGAAATTAGACACTAACAACTGCAGGGACAGGGCGAACTCCATGTAGTTCTTCTCTTCCACGGAAATAAATTATTAATCCAAACATTCAGGGCAGTAATATTCTGGTAATCTACTCCCGCGTAAACACATTCAAATAATCGGTAAACTCAAACAATAGCAGCTCACGCTATGCCTGCAATCAGCAGAGGTCAAATCCAAAGCAAAGTTAAAAACGAAACCAAATAAGGCATGAAATTTAAACGTTGAATTTAAAATAGCTTAAATAAAACGAGTAGGTACTATCTTGATATCGCTTGGAACTTTTTGCAAACATTCTTCTTTGATAATATATATAATAAGGGGTTTTATGAAATTTGACGCTCCCCATTGCTTCCTAATTCTTTACAAGTAAGGGAGAGGCGTCAGGTAATATAGCAGTGTGACGGTATCAGAGTACGTCTTTTTGTAAGTCAATGCTGGACAACTATGGCTTTATATGTTCCACTGTTTGGTGAGAATTTTGTCAACCCAGATTTTATATGTTCCCCGTAGATCTCTAAGTTAAGGGACCCATTAGTCACCCAGACGGTTACACTTTATTTCCATCGGAATTTTACCTCAAAACAAATACTTTGCCCCTGTCGGCTATTTCATGTGAGGTTGAGTTAATTGTTCTAAAAAAGGTTCGCTTATTAACCGAGCCTTGGCCATTCGCAGCCCGTCGGCATTAGCTGTTCTACCTTTTGGGCCCTTTGTATGACGTTGTCTCCTCTTGATCCCGGCGTAGAATTGCGAAGACCCTCCGCGCCCCAAGCTCGTATAAGACGTGACCGCGGTCAGTTTGAGATTCATTAGTCATCATCAGCTTACCACGACGGTGTGGTTATTTCCCCATTCGGCCATGACATTTCAGAGTCGTTGGTCCACGGTACGGTGTTAGGCGCTGCCAGAAGCTGTTTTAAAAGTTGCGAGCAACGTATTCCAGTACCGACCTACTACGAGTTACCCCTCCTTAGCCCACCGACTGGAGTCTGGACTCGCATGGCATAGACCAGATCATATGGTAGCAAACCACCTTTCGAAGTTTACTTCGCGGGCATTCACTGTCATCAGTCGTTTATGATCACCCTGTATTTATCCATCCTGCGTGGGCGTATAAAGCTATTTTTTACAGTTACTTATACACAGTGATATATGATATGCTCATACACGTGATCTAACAAGGCATGAAATTGCAGTAGTGTGACAAAAAGAACGATGATATAGTCACAATTAACATGAAAACGTGTGCTAATTATGATACGATTATTGCGCTCATATGTAGTGTTTCCCAACGTCTCGATTTGGTTATCTAGACATTTCAATTATCACCACTTTACAGTAATTGAAACTA